AACAGTTTTCCTTGCCCAGAAGGAACACCGAAATGCCAGAAGGATTGAAATACAGTATTTGTTTTTCAAATAGATCCCAAAGTAGCTTTCAGAAGGTGGTATTGCTGCACCATTTAAAAAACGAATTTGAGGTCAGAAATCAGTGGAGAATATGATTGTGTAGACTGGACTACTTTAAAACAACAAAAGCATTCTCTTCTGTGATTGTGTAGACTGGACTACTGTACTTTAAAACAACAAAAGCATTCTCTTCTCATGGGTATTGTTTCTAACAACTCTAATATTTCAGTATTTCCAGAATTCTGAGCTTTGGACTTGAAAATCAGTTTTACTGTCAGTACAGTGTTGAAAGCTGGCTGGATAGTTGAATGAGATTCTGTCCAAATGGATATATACCGCTTGCTGTCTGAATTGCTTTTGTTGCAGTTTGGTTCAAATCAACATGTGTTTTGACTGAGGGTGCTCCATCCCACCCCATTTAGAGCCCTCCTGCTCCTTTCTGGAACAGTAATAGAGCTTCTGGGTGTTTGGGGGCATGATTGAACATGCTGCTAATTATTTCATTGTGTAGCCTGTGTAATTAGTTAGTTCATACCCAAATAGAGGCCATGGGCAGTATTATCTGAGGTGACAAATTAGGTGGGTTGTGACACTCTAATGGATGGCAGTAAACCTCTCTACTTTATTTTCATGTTCTCTACCATTTTATTTTAAAAAATATTTTTCCTACTGATACAGTGCTATTTTAGGTAAATAAGATACATTGGCAATATTATGTATACCATGCCAGGTAGAAACAGTGCTGTTTCGCTATGTCACTTACTTTATTTAACAAAAAAAGGAAAGTCACTGCAGCCCACTGATTGATGGCTGTGGGAAAAGATATTGAAGGGGGCTATATAACCCCCCAAATTAATTTACAGATGACAGCAACTCCCTTTCCACCCCCAACAAATTATTTTTGACTTAGTGGTTGCTATAAATCTCAGTGATTAGCTTTATAAACCTTTGTTATTGAGTTATGACCAATTTTCATGGCTTAGTCCTACACAAAACACAATACAGTATTCTGCTTTTTGTAGATGTATTTTACATACTTGGTTTGTTTGTTTGTTTAATGGAACATATGGTCAGGAGTAAGTGGTGTACCTCTACTGGATCCTGCCTCTACCTTCAGAATCAATGAATCCTCCTCTTCCCTTCTGCAGCCCCATGCACCCTGAAATATTGGCCTGTAGAACTTGGAAGACTTTTGGAACAGGTTTTGGGGAGCATAGGGGGTGGTAGTGGAAGGAACTCTTTACTCACTACTATTCGCACTTGTGTAAGAACAGCCCTGACAATTGCTTTATGTTTGGGTGAGAAGTGGTTAGTCATGAAAAAAAATGAGTCTGCTTCTGGATTTTCCCTTGCATGGTCTCATTTTTTGAATGGTAGCGGTGTTTGGGGACTCCTGTTCAATACCTGTGGAATGTCTCAATGTTCAACGATTCCCCATACTATTTCACATATATGTGAAAAACGTGAAAGATGCTGTCCAGAATTTTGGTCTGGTAACACCAGTGTGGTGATGACACTCAGTTCCATCTGGTTTTTAAGATCTCCCAGGAGGCTTTCTCTCAGTCTCTCAGGCCCCACTGTGTGGGCACCCAACCTCCCATTACCCTCTGCCAATTTCACCCTTGAATCTACCTTACTAATTGCTAAAGGGTTATTAGAGCCAAGAATGGGTTAATTTCTGTGAAATTAAAAAAAGGGGGAGCCAGGGATATCATTTTCCAAATATGCAAATGTTGTCTTATCAATGTATTTGATTTGTTTTAAATCAGCCAGAGGTTCAGGTCAGTTGGTTCTGAATAGAGTAAAAAAAATGTTACTTTTTAAAAAATCGTACCTTTGCTCAAATGTTCCCAAATTTCGCATACAACAAGAGCAGACTGTCTTCTCCTGCTGTACCACATTTAGTGCTGATCTGACTCCCGGTTTTTATTTTAGAATTTTTTGTTTGGATTGCCACCCCTTTTAGAGTCACCTGGTACAATGTGTTTTTTGCAACTGCACAATCATGACAGGGCTCTCACCTGGTCATAATACAACTGAACCTATTCTGAAAGAATTACATTGTAATTCTGAGAGAATTACATTGGCTGTCCATGTGTTTCCAGTCTGAGATCAAGGTGTTTATGATTACCTTTAAAGTTCTGTGTGGCTTGGGACCTAGCTATAGCCTCTCCCCAGATATACCTGCCTAATCATTAAGACCTAGTGCAAGAATTCTCCTTCGTGTCCCACAAGAAGAGGTGTGGGAGAGAGCTTTCTCAGTTGCAGCACCCCTTTGGGGAATGATTTCTCTTCCCCTTAGAAGCCTGATTTGGGGTTGTATTGCCTTTATTTTGGTGCCAGCTTAAAACCAGATTCCTCACTGGAACATTTGATCATTAAGGAGACTGTGGCTTGGTCATCAATCCTTCTTTCCGTTTTAGTCCCATTTTAATGAATAAACTGTATTCAAGTTTTTTTTAAGTTTTAGGTTTAAAAATTATTTAAATATTGTGTTCGTTTTTTAAAATGCAATTTTATTGATTGTAGCTCACTATAAAAACAAGTTTGTAAGAAATGTCTATTTTAAGCACTATGATTTTTGAGGGCTGGAATATTCTTGTTGCTAAATTCAAATTGAGAAGACGCTGGTTCAAATGGCACGCCAGCTTTGAGAGCTCAGGAAGTGACCTTACATAAACTGCTTATTGGCATAAGAGTCATCTAGTCTCAGAAAGGTTCCTTATTTTGGGTCCACAATTCCCCGCCCCCCAGGCACCATGAGCAATGCTGTTCCAAAATGGCATTTTCCACAGGTCTGGTGCCATTGCATAATTGTTGTATTTCACATGACGTGCCGAGGCAACTCCATGACCTTTGTGTATTGTGTGTTAAAAATACATCCACATTTCTGGGCCCATTACTTTCTTACTGCTGTATATGTAATTTCCTTTTTTCCCCCTCTTTCTTCCTCTGGGCTATAGTGAGTAAGAGAGTAATAATAATAATAATAATTTGTTGTTGTTGTTGTTGTTGTTGTTGTTGTTGTTGTTGTTGTTGTTGTTGTTGTTGTTGTTGTTGTTGTTGTTGTTAAATGTCTGTTTAGTCTGTTATTTACTTTCCAGGCATCAAGAGCAAGGTACCTCTGTTCAGCTGAGCAAATAAACAGGGCTTGAGTAGAACTAGAATTTGCAGAGTTCAGATTTTTTGGTTAGCAGGGACAACAGTAGCATCTGCCAACCCCTTAAACCCCCGTTTCTTCTGAGCTTATCTGCAATCACCACTGGACAGAAGAATGGGGTTTGCCCAGAGATAATGCATTGTCATACACTATTCATCCTGTAATGCAAAGAATTTGGAGGTGTCCCTTAGTTTTGAGAGAGGGCAGGGAAAGGTGCAGACATGCAGTTTGGCTTCTTATTGCTCGTTACCAGTAATGATGGCTCTCTGCTTTGAAAAGACTGCAGACAATATGGCATTCTGTCATTTTGACATGGGGATTATGGGCGTTTCAAGTGAGGCCATGTTCCTCCAAGGGCTCATCCACACCATGGTGTTGTCTCTGGTTGTTCAGTTATTGTGATTGCAAATGTTAACAGATCATCTCAGTATGTGTGTCCACACTTGAAGAGGGCATTTGCTTCTGGATGTATTGGGGTGAATGGTTGTCCCAATACTGCTGGTCCACACACACACAGAATTGCTCCCTGTTGTCTCACTCCCAGCCCAAACTGCCCTCCCCTTTGGCTTCTCTTTTCTTCCCTCCCATTTCCCTCTCTCCTCCCTTCCCTCCTAGTTTTAAGCCATCCAAATGTCACAGAAGAGTGGAAACTGACCAGCAGGGATAAAACAAACAAACAAAACACCCTAAGGAGACATCATCAAATGATATCCACTCACCCCCGAAAACAGAGCTTGAAAGTTAGTTAGTAAATCAGTTTCTCTCTCTCTTTCTTTCCATCAGTTCTTTCGGGGAAAGCCAACAAGCGTTACACAAAAGGAGCAGCAGTTCATGTTTCCCAACACCAGATAAAGAGACATCCTGCCTTTCATAATGGAAGTAATACATAGGCAAGGGGGTGATGTGAACCTAGGTCTCCAAGTCCTGGTTTACCACTTCATCCTCTATAGGATTTCCCCTTATATAAAATTATTTTTAATTACATTGTTGAATTGTTGTTGTAAGCCGCCTAGAGTGGTCTTAATCGACTAGATAGGCAGGATATAAACAAAACAAACAAACAAACAAACAAATAGATAGATAGATAGTGCACTGACTCTGTTTCTAGAAACCCAAGTAGCAAAACTGAAGAAAATTTCCCTTGGCCTTTAGAACTGGTAAAAAAAAAGGCATGAAACTTTAATTCCTGTTAAACCCTTCCATTAAAAAAATGTTTCATATGCCCATAAAAGGTAGCTCTTGAAAGTTAACTAGGTGCTATTCCTTATTACTAGGTACAATTAATCATTTAATCTAAAAGTAAATTTGAAACTCCCAGTTATATTATTCAGCACCCACAAACTTAACTGATTTCAGGTAACGACATTGCCACTAACTATTCAGTTCCAGTTCTGAGCTTGTCCAATGCCTTTTCGAAGTCATGCAATTTGCTAGACGTCACTGCATGGGGCGACAGCAAGGCACGGTTTTTAACAAAGAATTATTATGTGCTGTCAGACATGAAAGCCCTTTCTAAGGTCCTCTGGGTAGAGTATTCAGAAGTTGCTTACTTTTTCCATTTGCCTGGGTATGCTCTGAGACTATGCAGCCTCCCCAAGGCTACACAGGCTGGCTTTTCTCCCAGGAGGCTCGGTGGGGAATTGAACTCCCAACCTCTGGCTCTGCAAACAGACACTTCCCTTACTGAGCTATTCAGTGTGGGGGAAAAACACACACAACAAACCATATTCTGACAAAATGTGCTGAAATTTTTATTTGTCTTTTTCATGGGAAGAAGTTAAATAAATAACATTTGATAAAACAGGAAAAAAACCTTGTTTATTAGCAGGGTACTTGTTTTATTTTGTTTTTCTTTCGTGTGCATGTATAGGTTTTCGGTGACCAATTTGGTTTCTCAAAATGTATTCTCTGTGTACAGCTCTTGTGAGCTGCTAACACGGCGATGGAGGAGTCCTACTGCATCCTGGGAATGTAGAGAAGAGGTACTGAGTTTGAAGAGCTCAAGGCATAAGGCTGCTTATTGACAGAGAAAGAGAGCATGTACATTAGGGTCATTCTTCTCATCCTGTATTCTCTCCATACATGGTCACAGTGGAAGGTCAGCTAACTTCTGGATCTTCAAATGAAACAAATGGTGACCAATGTCCCTTTAGTTTGATGGTAGGCTGTTGCACTGCATTCTCTTTCTTCAAAGGAAGGCGTTTCGGCTTTTATTGGTAAGGAGACAGAAGAAAGAACCTGTTGAAGAACAAGGGGAGATGTTTGCTACAAAGTAGGTAGGACAAGCAAAAAATGTCCACCCACAGAAAGCCCTGCCCTGAAACACCAGATTTTAAAGCTCTGGAGGAGGATATCTCTCAATAAAGGGCACTTGAGAGTATGGCAGGCGGATGCAGTCTCTATCTCTTGACCCACATGGGCCAGAGCAGAGTGTCATCTGGTCTAGAAACCTGGCAGGGTGTAGTTCCCCCAAACAGGAACCAGGTAGGCACATGAGAATACGCATGGACATCCAGGCCACATCTGCAGTTTTGAGTGGTGTGCCACAGATGTACCACTTGCCCACAGCTCCATCTTCCATTTTTAACACCCTCAAGGTCTGGAGTCAGTAGAAATATCCGCCCAAGCCCAGCATGCCTCCCTAAAGTTCTCTGTACTTGCTTCTTCCTGTGGTTAGTTTTGACAAAACCACCATTCAAATGTGGCACATTGGTGTATAAAGGTGTTGCAAAGTTGGATAGCAGGAAACATCAGATCGGGTGATGCTTTCCAAAGGCCCTGTGTATCACCTGGGGCCACTGCAGGCATTACCTCTTGACTTTTTCTTCACTCACAAGAACAGTCAACTCAGTTGAACAGCACAAGACCAGCCTGGGAGCTGCTGGAGTTCAGCCATTTTGATTCCTACTACCTGTAAGGTGAATTTCTCATCTTCAGAGGCAACAGAGGGTGTCCCAGTAGAGATCTGAAAGCTTCTGATTCTCATTGATGAAAACAGAAGAGAAAAGGTAGGTTCCAGGTCCCAGCAAAAAACTGTTCCAGGCAATATTTGAACTAGAGTCAACATACAGCTCATGTTCCAGCACAATGTTATTGGGGACCTACAAGAAACATGTAACAATGCAGCCTTCCTCAACCTGCTGTTCCTCCAGATGGGTTGGATTACAAGTCCCACAATCCCCAGCCAACAGGTCACATTTGAGGGCCTTGGGTGGGGATGATAGGAAGCATAGTCCAACTCACTCAGATCTTGCTAGGCTGGGAAACACTGATGCTTCGCTACTTCTCAGGCAAGGCCTGCTGTTCACAAGAGCAGACCACTTCCAGGAGTTAAGAAATAACAAAAACCAACATGTGAACTGCTCCACCCCAGCCCAGTTTTGCTACACAGAATCATACTTCTGGTTCTGACACAATGGATAGAAAACAATATACTTTTGGATCCCAAGAAAGTCTTTTCCAGATTTGGGACTAAAATTATTTTCATTTTTTGAAAAAAAAATCAAAAGAACATAATCCCATTTTTCTATTCTATACCTTACATGTAGATGTGTCTTCTATATCTCGTGTCTTACTACTAATCCAAGTATTTATACTATTGATCCATAAATCCATATGCATTTCATCAGACAACTGTCATGGGTAAGAGTGAAGCATTCCAGCAAAACGGATATCTGGCTATTGCTACAGCACATATAAAAAAGTTGATCCATTTTGAAAATCACTGACATGATGTGGTCAGATTAATATTATTATTTTCTCAGTTCAGAAAAATTAGCAAAAGAAGGTTGCAGTGTTCCCTATGGAAAAATCTTAATAGATGCTATACATTTCTCAGTAATGTGAGATTTTGTCTATTAGTGCCCATATAAATATTACTGACTACTGGCTGATGACTTATGGGTAGGACTTTGTTGTAAGATTTTTTTTAAATAGTTACCTTATCAAAATGGTAAAAGCTATGCAAGTTATGGTGATTTTTAGAATCCTAAATTACAAGTGTAATGATTTTTAGAGTCCTCAGTTACAAGCAACCTTGTAATAATAGAAGACAGGTAAACACAACCACCCCAACTTGGTAAATGCAATTTTGGACAAAACAGATTTCCGTAGGCAGGGCTGGATTAAGATCTACTGATGCCCCAAAGCTATGTCAAGTTTTAAAGGTCTCACAAAACTGCCAGAGCTTTCAAGTCCAATTTTTAAAATGTTTTGGGGTTCTTTTGTTTGTATTCAGTGGCCCCGTCAACTTTGAGGCTCTAAACGGTCAATTACTTTTGCCCAAACCCAGCCCTGTCTGTAGGGGAATCTCCCTTGACAGATGCTGCTGGTAGAAGACAACGTGGTTCACCCAGCAATGTGCTAATTCACAAAGGTGGAGATGGCAAACGTTGGGGAGGCGGTGTGGGACAACAACCTCTAGAATCCCCTAGCATGCTGTTAGGTGGATTCTAGGAATTATAGTCCTAAAGCAAACATGTCCCATCTTTACACAAAAGTCATGTGCTGCTCTTTATGGTTTGGGTGGAAAACCATTTTTCTCTCAAAAGCCACCTTCTCGTAAGGGTGATTTAGCAGAGGGGAGAGGCTTCGCTGATACCTATAGTAGAGGTTAGAAGTAGGTCAATCTAACGCCCCCTTTCTCTCTATCCTTTCTTTCTAGCACCCTATCTTCTTTGACATCACCCCCTCTCTGTAACCCCCTTCTCTTTCTCCCACTCTCCATCTCCCTCTCTTCTTCCCCATCTACAGAGCTGCTGGTGAAGGGATCGATCCTGCTTGCAAAGGTCTGAATTGATCGGTTGAAGATGGCATTTGAAAACGGAGCTGCAAGACATCAACCTGAGGGCTTCCTGTTGCCCACCCTTTCTCCCTACTCCTGTGGCATACTGGGAGATATCCATTGTCTATCCATAACTGCATCCATTGTGTTCCCAGTCTTCTACTTGCTCCTTCTGCCTTTCTCTGGATCAAGGGGTTTTTTATAAAGGTTCTCTTCATATTTCTTAAGAGTCCATGTGGGCCGGTCGCTGTTGCTTCCTTAAATCACTTTAGCTAATTAAGATTGTCCATCTCCCAGCAGGCCTAAGATATAACCTTTACAGCAGCAGTTAGAACTGTGAGAGAATGGCTTAAAAAGTTCAAAACATTGATTCTTCCACCCTCCCTTGTCCTACACTTAGTGATTCCTGCAAAGAAAAAAATATATATTTTGTGGGGGAAAACATACACACATTTCTAATATGAAATGTCTGAGAGGGAAACTGATGGTGCTCTAATGTGTGTTCAAAGAGAACAGTCAGCATTAATGGGATGGTGTAATTTGTTTCATCTTCTCTTATCTTGAACATGAATAACAAGCTCAAAAGCCTCCCAAGCACTTCATAATTACTCCAGATCATAATTGGTTGGGCTTTTGTACTCCAGGCCTTGAAATAACCTCTATGGCTACAATCCTAAGCATATTTACTTAGGAGTAAGTCCTACTGAACACAGTAGAATTGACTTCTGAGTATGCACATAGAGGATCTAGCTGTGTACTTCTTGGAATTACTTTTAAGCCTGAGTTTCCATAAATCTTTTCTAAGAAGACAAAGAACACAGCAGAATCATCTTGCTTCCAATCCTTTTCTCCCTGGAGCATCACATGATGGAAATTCATTCCAAGACATGGATCTCCAGGGTTTGGGTTTTTTGTTTTTGGTTTTAACACCATATATTGAGAGAAAGAGGGTTTTCTAAAGCGTGTTTGCATGTGATCGAAAGTGTATAGGACTGGGAAAGGTTCAATTCATCCTGGCATTAAACCCTACTTTGCAAGTATAACAAGGAATTCAACCTCGGCTGTGACTTTGACAAGATTTTTGTGGTTGATTGCTGAGAAACTAATGTTAAGGGAGGCCTTTTGTATAAGCAAGGCCCTGCCTCCTACAGTCCTTCTGTTTGCTTCTTTGTTTAATAACAGTCTCTTCAGCCATTGTGCATTCCAGCATCTTATGGACATCATCCATCTGAAGTAGATGCAGAACCGTATCTGTCTATTCCAGATGTGCCTATGTGTTTCACTTATTTGTTTTTGAAGGAGGCGAGTGGGGCGAGAGGTCTTTGCGTTTCGTTTTTGGTCACACCACAGTGCTAATTGTAGACGACTCTTCCGACTTCTTCTGCTTGCTGGGTAAAGACTTGAGATATTCTAGGTGGCGTCGGGCATCTTCCTGGTTCTGCCGGACATAGTAGATCAAGTATGAGATCACCATGGCGAACCAGCCGAACATGGTGACCAGCATGGCGATGTCTGTGGTCTTTTTGTAGATGTTGCAGAAGTCGATGTCTCCGACCAGCTGCAGAAAAGGCTTGCCAATGTGCTCCTTCCGTGCAGAGGCATCGCATATGATGCCATCAGAAGTACTGGTGACCAGCTCTACCCTCTCAATGAGCTGCTGGAGTGTGCAGTCGCACAGCCACGGATTGCTTGAAAGATTGGCTTTGGCTTTGAGCGAGTTAAAGACATCCTTGTTGACCGACACCAGTTTGTTTGAGGACAAGTCCAGCAAATGCAGGTTTTCCGACAAGCCTCGGAAGGCTCCAACTTCCACACGGCTGATGACGTTGTGCGACAGGTCTAAATCCGTGAGGAGTGGCAAATTCTGAAAGGCGTCATTGGGCAGGAAAGAAATCTGATTGTAATCCAGATACAATTTGTTTGTGTCGTTCGGGATATCCTTCGGGATCACTGTCAGCTGAGCTTTGCTGCAACGAAACGTTTTGAAGCCCTCTTCAGTGGACGGATAGCAGCCCTTGGGGAAGGTGGTAACTGAGTGGAAGCAAAAAGCCATCAGAATAAAACTTTGGAGGAGCAACCACATGGCCACGGAGTGGTATAGGAACCAGTTGAGAAAAGGCATGTCGGGGCATCTGAATAACCAGGCATCCACTCCCTCATCAGATACCTCTTGGACTTCCTTGGCTTCTTAGCCAACTTTGAAGACTGCAGCTTGTGGAACACTATCTGTGAAAGACAGAAGGGAGAGAAACTAGTTGTGAGGTTATGTTTTGTCATTAGAATGAGATTTCCACCCCAGGAATGAATTTAACCTGGGTGTCTTTGATCTTCTGGAGCACTAGCTTTGCAGAGGATAAAGAAGGCAGACAAAAGTGAAATGGAGCCGTTGACAACTGGTGTGCCTCTGTAGATATTGTTGCACTATAAGACAGCTTGGATTGCCTAGGTAGCTAGAACTGACTTGCATGCAGAAGGAACAAGGAAGACATTCTTAAGACACAGTCTTAACATGGGACTGAATAACTAAGATGGAGTCTGCATCTATGGCTGTGGGTGCGTAGCAAGAAGTTAGCAGGGGCAAGAATACCAACATTCAAAAATAAGAGAAAGGAGAAAGCCCGGATTTGTTCATCCCTATGATAGAAATTTCATTCCAACTGATCAGAACTAAATGAAATTCAAAAATATTGAACATTAGAGAAAGCAAAACTCAGATTTGCCTGTGTACCTCATAGGTAGACCATGGGTTTGATTACACGGGAAGTGGATCACATCTGCTTGTGGAGCTATCACATGACATATGGGAATTACTCTCCAGACTGACTCCAATCCATGCCCAAGATGGACCTTTTTGGTCCAGCTGTAGGGCCACTGTTTTTCAGAGCTAGGATGGGGCAATTCCTTGACAGAGGGGACACTTTAAGGAGATTAATCCTGGCAAATCGGCCTTTTCCAGTGTTACCAGATGCACGCCTTTCCAGCTGTCAGATCACACTCTAAATTGACAAGCTATGAAGAACCTCAGTTAATCTTTCTGAATGAACAGACTTCATTCATCTTTGTGCTCAGTGTATTCACCTCTTAATTATCTTAACAGCTACATTAAAGCTACCACTGCCACCACCATCCACCGTGGGCATATCAGCAACACAAGATGATTTAATAATCATCCTGTTTTACTGAGAAACCACAGGAGGAACAATACTAGGATGGTGAAGAAGGCCCTGAATCAGACAGCTCTCAGCACTCTTGCTAAACTACAATTTTCACGAGTCTCTGGGAGAAATCATGACAGATAAGCTAATATAAAATTACATTAGGGCAACAACAATATTATTGCCTTACTAATAGTTAGGAATGATATTTCCTAAATGGAATAACATTACTGGAGATGTTTCGCTAAATGTGCAGCGTATCTGCAAGGCAGGAGTTGAGATCGTGATTTTCCAGCAGAGAGGGAGAAGATATTTTCATTTTTAAAATGGCTGCCTCTGAGCAGAGAGAACACACAACTGTTAGTTGGATTTGGCTAAACTAGAGAAACCCTGAGCTCTATGAAGCCAATGCTGAATCAGTGGCTGGGCTACTAGTTATACAAGTTCATTGTTTTGTTAATCTTTCTGTAACAGCAACTACTACTGCTGCTGCTCTGCTGTATGTTGTCCAGCTGCTTTTGGCTTATGGCAATCCTTTCTAGGGTTTAACAGTTATAAGGTGTTGGAGTTTTATTTACAACTTCGCATGCAGTCTGTAGTTTGTGAAACTGGGAGGAAAGTTCCTGGGCTAGGGTGACTGTCTATGCAGTCATTTCCTCTCATTTCCTCTCTTTCATCCATTAGGAAAAGCTCCATCTCTGTGATGAGATTCTCATTTCCTCTCTTTCATCCATTAGGAACATATGTTTGTTTCCTGTTGATCCGTTCTGTTGGTTGCTAATGATCCATAGGGTCCTTTCCTGCTCTGCAATACTGAGACAATTAGGAGGAGGAGGAAATGCCCCAGAATAAGTGATTGAAACTTTAGTTATTGACATTCCCTTTTAAGCTCCATCTCTGTGATGAGATTCTCATTTCCTCTCTTTCATCCATTAGGAACATATGTTTGTTTCCTGTTGATCCGTTCTGTTGGTTGCTAATGATCCATAGGGTCCTTTCCTGCTCTGCAATACTGAGACAATTAGGAGGAGGAGGAAATGCCCCAGAATAAGTGATTGAAACTTTAGTTATTGACATTCCCTTTTTCTGGGGATGCCAGTACTGAGACAATGAGGAGGTGGAGGAAATGCCCCAGAATAAGTGACTGAAACTTTAGTTATTGACATTCCCTTTTTCTGGGGATGCTTAGGGACTATTTAGCTTGCCCAAGGCTACACATGCTCCTGAGAGGTACAATCAAACTCCTGACCCCTGGATCTCTGGGACTATTTAGCTTGCCCAAGGCTATACAGGCTCCTGAGAGGTACTGTACAATCAAACTCCTGACCCCTGGATCTCTTCTAAGACAGTGAGCTATACAACAAAAAGCCAATTTTACAAGAGATACCATTAATCTCCTGTGCATTCTCATCCAACGGTACATGCCATGGTAATGCTACCTGTGAACTTCCATATAGTGCAGTTTGTACATGAAACGTTGCTAAACATTTTAAGGGCAAAATGACATTCCTCTAACTTGGGCCCTATTTTGGGGACATGTGGTACCAAAGAGAAAAGCTGTGGAAAGGCCTGCAGATCCATGGAATGGGATAATCTGCAGAAAGAAAGAAATCTTTCATTTTGATTTGTAAATAGCATGACTGATGCAAGAAGAGGCAGAGGATTTCTCTTGGCCTGGACTTTTAAATTATGTCTGTGGTGACAAGACCTCGGCCACTCTAAAGGAGCATAAAATAATTGGAGAAACTGCAGCGTTGAATACTTCCAGTGGCTCTGTGCCAAGAGCATACCCTAAGAAGACCCCATCATGATTTTTTCAAAGTCCAATACAAAAGGGTGGTTTTGCTGAACTATGAAGAAAGTTTTGTGATGGACATTCTGTCCTGTCTTCCCATCCACTAAGGCAGTGTTGATTATTAATGATACCAGAAAAAGAAAAGAAAAAGCAAAGTGTGTTAGTTATGTACCACCCCATAATGCTTTAAGCAAAGCAAACAGGCCAATAAGAAAGCGGAAAAATTTTAGGATGTTAATGAATCAGAAGCCACTAAACCCCAGAAAAAGAACTCATGCTCTTTTCAGCTTGTTTCTCTCCCCTCCTTTTTTTTATCACGTTTATTTTTTGCAGGCTTCATCTGTTCAGGGCCCTTTGGACAAGGATGTAGCTAGGATGGACACCCAGACTTCCAAGACTGGATTATCACCAGAGGAAAAGACAGATGTAGACCAGGCAGGCCATCAGGGGAAAGCAGAAGAAAGGTGATGATGACTATATGAGGCCCCACTGAGGCTGTAAAGGACAGTTGTACCTATGACTTGGTAGACTGGCCTTCCAATTCACACTTCAGAAGAGAAGGTGGTTTCCAGATGGAAGGCTAGTCTTTTATCTGATCCTGGGTAGACCAGACCTCTCCTGTTGGAGGCCTGGTCTACCTGGGCTTCAGTAGTGCCTGGGCTGGTTCGAAGTGGCCCTTACAGTATGTCATATGGTCATTGGGAACTGGAGCAAATCAACATGTTCCCCAGGATGACCCAAACTCCAGAACACCCCTCCCTCGCATAGTCACACTCCCAATCATATGGAAACTGGTACAAATATTTTTCTTTTTCAACATGCACACAAACGCCACCCTGAGAATGGCAAGTTCCCAACAGCTTTTTTAAACCCTCCCCCCCCCAAGAAGTGCCAAGATCTTAATCGCAAAGGAAGTTCTAGTGGCAATGAATTGTTTTTCAATGCAGCGATCGTGCAAGCTTTTGCAAGAGTGCTCCCTATCAGAGTGTCACGTTCCACCACTAAGCAGATGACAAAGGCTGCCCTGGTTGTGGGATGAAACAGAAACGGCAGCTCAAATGACTGGGTGAGGAACCGTTAACATGACACCAGGCAGCAGTTGGTGGGTCTTGATGCTCTGAAGCAGGGAGTCAGCTAAAGAGCTCCTATCCTTCAACACATTGACAGAGGAACTATTCTCAAAAAATGCATAGAGCTGGCAACTTACAAGAAGAACTAAAGGAGAGGCTCCCAACTTGAACTTCTGTCCTTTGTGCAATTGGGAAACATCACTATATTTGGACTACAACTCCCAGGATCCCCCCTCCAACTTTAGTCCTATTATTTTACTGCTCTGGTTCTGTTACTGAAATACAAGACAAAGCAAAAGCAAAAAAGCAAAGCATGGTGCTAATATACCACCCCATAGTGCTTAAAGCATTATCTGGACAGTTTACAATTTAATTATGTGGGCTACACATTGCACCCCCAAACAAACTGGGTACTCAATTTACCTACCTCAGAAGGATGGAAGGCTAAGTGAACCTCGAGCTAACTACCTGGGATTGAACCTGGGTCATGAGCAGAGTTTTGACTGAAGTACTGCAGTTTAACCACTGTGCCATGAGACTCCTATGCTGGTGATAAATAATATCCCAAGAAAATACAGTGGTGCCTCGCATAGCGAGGTTAATCCGTTCCGGATTAACCTTCGCTATGCTGAAGCATCGCTGAACGGGGCAGGGATTTCCATTGGAACGCATTAAACATCGTTTAATGCGTTCCAAATGGGCCAAATACTCACCGTTCAGCGAAGCTTCAGGATGGCTGGCAGCCATTTTCGCACCCTCGCCTCGCTTAACGAGGGCGCAAAAACACTGCGCGCGGCCATTTTAGGCCATTTCCCGGCTTCGAACAGCTGATCATCGGGGTTCGTTTTGCGAAGATCGTTTTTAGGGCTAAATTATGTAAGAGATAAACAAGATGCAGTCCTCTGGGTATTGCTGAACTGCAACTTCCATCATCCCTATTTGGCAGAGCTTATGGTGAGGAATGCTGGGAATTAGAGTGCCACAAGATCCGGAGGGCTGTACTTTGCCCACCTTCCAAATACAGTGGTGCCCCGCATAGCGAGGTTAATCCGTTCCGGATTAACTGTCGCTATGGGGAAACATTGCTATACGGAACCGAAAACGCCAGAGAAATGCATTAAACTTAGTTTAATGCGTTCCTATGGCTCCTAAACTCACCGTTGTGTGAAGTTTCCCCATAGCGCCGCCATTTTCGGTAAGCGAGGG